AAGATCCATCTAACATCAGCAACGATATCCCTAGTACCTGAACACCTGAATAGACCCATTAAAAAAGAAGAAATTGAACAGGTAATAAAACAACTTACCACCTTGGAATAGATGGTTTTGCAAGTGAATTTTATCAAACATTCAGAGAAGAACTGTCACCAATTCTACAGAAAGTATGTCAACTAGTGTTGCTAACAAAAAATCCACTAATTGTTTACAATCTCAGAAACACAAAGGAGGGGTAAGTGTTAGTAGATTTCAGTTTGACACTAAGTGAACAAGTGATAATTAGAAAGGTATTCAGTGTTGTAGTGGCAAGGGAATCAGAGCAAATTAATAACTTCTAAGAATTTTTAAAAGTTTTATGTGTTAAGACTAGATATAAAAATCTACCTCAGATTCTATTGGTTAGCAAAGATGAGGTCAATTTTGACTAATGTCATGGAGGAAAATTACTGGCAAAGGAAAATTGAATAAATATCTCAATCACTTTAAAAAAAAATCACAAAGATTTAGACACCTTCCACTGCCTAACATTAAACAGTAAAATGCAACTCAGACAAAAAACAGATTGGAAAGTTTCAATATTAGCCACTTCATTTAAATCTGTGCATATTAGTTTCAGTTATGTGCCTATTTATTTGCTATTTTTGGATCTATTATCATTTGAAGATTCCATAAGCAGCTTATAACAAGGCATTAAGTAATTTTAAAACCAACCAAGAGGTCCTTTTTACAAACACCTTCAACATCTAAATACGCCAACATTGCGCAGAATATACCAAGGAAGGGAAATAGATTTACATTAAAAGGTAAACATGGAGAGTGAAGACTCATTTCTAAAAATTCGTAAGACTAAAATAGCTATCATTTTTAAAATATCATTGGTTCATAAAAAAGTAAAAGGTCAGTGATAGTATAAGAAATAAAAGAAATGGTGACTTTTACAGTTGTTGTTTTGTTTTTGGGTTTTTTTTTATCAGCTACATAACGGCGTGGAAGGAGGAGTGGCGTCCACTTCCATAACAGCTTGCCTCCGGAAACCCTATGAACTTGGAGAGAGGATGAAAGGCACCCAAGTGTCAAGGACTCTCCTTCATAGGGTCACTATGAGTCACCTGCAACTCGACGGCACATAACAACAACAACAACATAACAGGTTAACAAATGTGAACTATTTTTGGTTTTTGCTTGTTTGCTTTTTTTTGGGTCGTGTGCTTTTTTTGGCTTGTGTTTGATGTGCACTACTACTCTTCCTCCCAGGAGCGAGGTCCTTGAGGCTTGGCCTCGGGTTTAAGACAGGTAGTGGCTTCATTTTTTCTGTTTTTTTCTTCAAACATTCCTCTAGGTGGTATAGCACTGGTCTGGCATTGCTGTATAGAGGTAACTCGTGGTTGCTGTGATGCTAAACACTGTGACACTGATACGGAATGTGATAATGGTTAGCCATGGTGGACAGTGCTTAGTGGAGCTTCCTGAGTAATACAATCTTGGAAGCAGGAGTGGCATCCACTTCCAAAATGGCTTGCCTCCAAAAACTCTTAGAACAGTGCTCCGGTCTTTCATTCATAGGGTTTCTTGAGTTGTCTATGACTCAACAGCATTCAACAACA